ACAACTGGAAACAGGACAGGACTCAAACTTGGACTTCAACAGTTTAATCTTCAGCTCGTGAACGTAAATCATACAGTCAAATAAATCCGCAATGTAAAATCGAAAAACAGGAATAACAGTGCTCTATTTATACAAACTGACCAACTTATTACAACATCACAAAACAAATGGAAAGAAGGCTGAATAAAATCAGCTCAACAGCGGAAACAACTCTGGATAAATCCAGTTTTAAAGTTCATATGTTAAACTAAATAACCCAAAATTAAATGTCAGACAAGCAAGTGAATTTTAGGAAACCTACAAAGAAAGCTGAGTAAAAGAATTCGAGTTTCCTTTGCTCAGGAACCCTCAAAATGTCAAAACTGAAAACTACGAACGGTTGGTATTTGAACAGGCGAAAGATCCAGTTATTCAGTCAACTAAGCTGTATAATTATCCAGAAACAAATTATCCTTTTAAAAGTAAATACTGAAGTAAAATGTGTATAATTTAAAGGAACTAAAACAACTCAATGCAAATTCAATGTAAATTATGGCTAACACAACTTCAAATGGAATATTTAAAAGCTAGATATGAAATTCGAATCAAATAAGGAATACATAGCAAATCTCTCCTTACAACGGAAAAACTAATTAATTTTTTTCAATTTTAATCTCTGTTGATCTTGGTACCCTTAGAGAGGGGGGCGCTGGGGTCTATAAAAAACCGAAAAACCGCTCTAAAAACTACCCAAAACCGAAAAACCGCGATAGATTTCGATTAAAACCGTAAACCGTATGCAAAACCACCAAAACCGAAGATTTATACAGCTCAATTTTCACCAAACCCTAGTCTAGATCTCAAACGTTGGTGATATGTGGAACATGCGGACTACACAATAGCACATCATCATTCTAGATGTTAATATCATCAAAGTATCAACACTTTCTATGGATGCTATGGTCCTAAAACCGGCATATCTGGCCTAGGACCCTCTAGGAGAATTTACAAAGATCCTCGATTGAATGGCAATAGAAGACATTGGACATTGCGGGAAGTTTTGCGTCCGCGAAAAGCTCTCCAGGTGTACACCCCCATTAAAAATCCAAAATCCCATGCACATTCCAGTTTGACCTGGATATTGACTGTAAAATAGAAATATTTAAAGTAGCCAAACATGTGACTGCACAGAGACCAACATAGGAGTCTAACCCGGGAAGGAAGTTAAAGACAGACCTACTGTACGGACTCTCAATGTGGTTTTTGTGCACATCAAAACCAATTACAAACCGACTGAAACCTTTCAACTGATACACAATGTACCTCGTGCCACCTTCCGGGGTGGCATGAAAGGCGAAACAATAAGATTGCTTACAACAGACTCTTCAAAAAAAAAAAATAGAAAAAGAAGGCATGTATACACAGGCTATTGTCAGAGGTCAACTTTGAAAATTAAAGAGAGACTATTAATATTGCCTTTCCGGTATCACCCAGCGGTACATGATCTTCAAAGAAATTGATGGCAAACTGGAGTCTAAAATAGAAAATCAGCCTCTGCTGAAAACAATTTTTGGAACCTCCGATCATATCAGAAAATACAAGCTTGTAAGAGCAAAATTGTAACTTGAAGGCAGTTGATAATGCGACACAACCACAAAAACCACATTGTTAGCCCGTGCAGGTTTGTCCACGTCTTTGACGTCCTTCCAAATTGGAAAAACCGAAATCCACACCGGTCACCAAAATCCGAAAAACCGCGTTGTTTTTGCTAAAAAACCGAAAACCAGATGCTAAAAAAGGGAAAAACCGGAAACCACAACGGACAACAAAACCGAAAAATCGAAGTTTTTCATTGCAAAAACCGAAAAACCGACATAGAAAATGGCCAAAACCGAAAATCCCAACGCCCCCCTCCTTAGACGAACTTTAACATTCCATCCTTTATTGATTTAACGTTCTTTCAATGATATCAATGTTATATGCTTTATATGTTTATATATTTTTCGGGTGAATTACGGGATAGCGCAGCTGTTTTATTTTCCACTTGGTTTAAAGTCTCTTACTTGTCTTCTTTTATTCAGCTATTAAAAATAAAACTTTCTTTAAATCATACTCCAAAAGAAAATAAAAAGAAACATGCATGGTTAGGATTTTAGGATTTGCAAAGAAAAATCTTAGAGAATGCCTTAGCATAAAAGCTGTTCATTGTTCCGTAACACACAGGATGCAAAGCACTTGGCACACAAGTTAATACGAAACTATACCTTCGCATTAGGCTATGATACCGAAATTTCCACTCGTTTACATCAGCTAATCTTTCCCACAAAAACACGGCTTGATATGGGAAATAACAAATCACAAATATTAGAATTATCGCAAATATCATCTTCAGCAAATCTTGCTCGGCGTCACTGGTGTTTTCTCGCTTGGTGCATGTACGGTTATTCACATCTATTAAGACTAGGCCTGGTCGGTGTTCTTCTGGCGTCGTAGTTTCTCTCCTCCGATAGTTGGTGTGGAGTTCTACGAGTGCAACTGAGGAAGGGATGATCGAGTTACTGCGAGCATAGGAGGTGTTTTGGCCGATTCGCTGTCTTAGGTTCCACGCAACCGCTCCGTAAGATGCTAGCATGACCAAGTAGGGTAGGACATAATTCAGGGTGAATAACACGAGAGAATAGGCATAGACATTCCCAAAAGGATGCAATTTACAATGGCCACCTACGAACCTGTTTCGAATGAATATGGGCACACAGACAGCAGTAGGAACAAGCCACAAACAGGGAAAGATCACAGTCTTCAATTTCCCAGATACATGTCTTTGGATGGGGTTGATGAGTACTCGGTAGCGGTAGAACGCGAGCGCTGCCAGCGAAAAAGTTACTACCATCAATGAAATAACTTGGATGGGATTGTCAACGCACCAGATATCATGGATGACAACATTCTTGTGTCCTTTTTCATACTGCCAGACGTACATGATCGGTAAGCAGAGAGAGTTGACGATTTCTGCAAAGGCCATGTTGGCAACGAGATGGTATGAAAACGGCTTGCGGTGAGGCGCTCTCCATATTGCTTTACAAACGACCGAGTTACCGATCAAGCTGGCCAAGATGATCAGTGTAAACAAGGTATGACGAAAAATACGCAGGGGTAGAGTTTCCTGGTATTGGATCACTTCGTAGTCTTCAGAAGTTCCACTGACAACAGACGTGTTGTTAAGCGATGTCATCGTGTTCTTCCAGTTCAACTACGTTTTCTTGTAAGATGTGTTCCAAGGCGACTTGCAACCTTCTTACTTCTTTCACAACACTGCAGCTGTCTTACACTGTAAAATGAAAAGAGCCAATTTGGCCCCAAAAATGGGGCCGAAACGGGTGAGTCCAGAATGGTACTGTTTTTGGGGCCAATTCGGCCCCACTGAGATGGGGCTGTTTTGGTACCAAAATTTGGGGCTAAATTGACCCTTGCATCGGGGCCAAATTAGACCATGTAAAGGGTCAATATGGAAAACAGTAGGGCCATTTTGGATTTTCCAGTAGCCAAAACAGCCCCCTCAAATTTTGGCCCTCTTAAAAACTACCCCTCCAAAAGTAGCCGATTCAGCCCCATATCGGGCCATTATGGTTTTTTTTAATTTGGGTGGGGGCCTACAGATTTTTTCCCTTAATTAGGGTACTGATAATAATGAAACCAAACTAAGGCTTATTTCAAACATTTATTCAGTTCTGAATAAGTTACTGTGATCTGTGTACATCATAACAACGCGTATTCCAACCTATTTATGTAATATTATCTTCGGTTAATCTCAACTTTTCTAGATTGAACATTTAGAATTATTGGAGGAATTAAATTGGCCAAGAGAGACACTTGTCTTCGGTGCGATCAAAGTAACTACTTCTTAAAACGGTTTTCACAAAAGGCAAAGTCAAAATCATAATCAGCATCAGAGGAACACTTAAAACCTATAGTAAAAATCAAAAATTGGAGTTGTAAAGGGTTTCATTAATTAAAGCTCACCAGAATTGGAGTCAATTAAGGTTTCTTTTATAACTCCCCTTTTGACAAAAAAATAAATAAAAGATTGTCAGAGTTGGTCAAGTTCTCCTGCTAACAATTCCGACAAAGTACATTAGATTGAAGCAAAAGAGTTGTAAGAGCAATAATGAACTAAGATGCTTTAGCTATATCAATTCTCAAGCTTCTGATTATGACTCCAACTCTGTCTACCTTGCTAGTGCGAGCCTTTAGTTTAATGACTTGACCTAATCCTTTTGAAGGGTAGTTGTCACTCGTGACAAAGTCAGGGTCATAGTCAGAGCACTCATCACCTAGTGAAAATCAAAAATCAGAGTTGCAAGGGAAGTCATAACTAGGAGCTTGATGGAATTGGAGTCATCACAACTTTCTACTCTTCAGATTCTGCTTATGATGTAGAAAACCAGATTAAGCAGGGGTGTAATCGTCAAAGGATAAACCACTTGCCAGTCAAAATTCTTGTTCCCATGCTTTATAGTTTTCACTAGATCAAAAGTGAAGGAGTCATAATTGGAGTAATTATACCCTGTTAGTGTTATATCTAGATCAACACTCTATGCTTTTGATTTGTATAGTTCCGACTCTGTATCTTACTAGTAAACCAGCCTAGCCCTTAATGACTTGGCAAATGTCTTAAACTATATTTTACTCCACAGATATTACTTTTAAAAAATCTTGCCAAATCTTGGTCTATAAGAGTGAAAGAAAACTTCCATGAAAAACATTTTGACAATTTGGCTACACCTTGCGAGGCTGTCCTGTCCTGGCTTTAAGGTTTTTTCATCAGATATGTTTATCATTCTCCCTGTTTTAAATAGGGGACAGTGAGGGGATGGAAGAAGTGCTTTTTAACTCCTCCACTGGCTTAACTACAGAATACAGGATCACTTATTTCCTTATCATTAGATAATAAAATTAAAAGCATCTAATGACCCGTTCCCTCAGGACAATATGTTATAATAAAAGCAGAATTTAATGACAAAATGTATGTTCTAATCAACATCTATGCTCCGAATAAAGATTCGAATATTGTGAGCTTTTTCAACAATCTACTTCTGATTTTGCGAAATAATAATTTTGATGAAGAAGAAAACATTATTATGGGAGGGGATTTCAACTGCCCTCTTAATCCACTTATGGATAAGAAAGGAGGCCAATTGAGTCCAAGAAAATCTGTTGTATCAACCATTAGCAACCTACTAGAAGAGTTTGATCTCGTCGATATATGGAGAGTTAAGAATCCTCAGAAAAAGAGCTTTACATGGAGTCAAAATTTGCCTACGATCTTTTGTCGTTTAGACTATTGGCTGATCTCAAATTCTTTACATGATCTAGTTAAAGCAGCAGATATATTCCCGGCAATTAGAACAGACCATGCAGCTATTACTCTTGAACTTGTATACAAATCTGATGACATCAAAGGTCCAGGTATCTGGAAAATGAATTGCTCCCTTTTAGATGATGAAGACTACGTTAATGGCATCACGGAGAGGATACCTATCTGGTTAGCTGAAGGTCGTAAGGACCTTTCGAACTGTCGAAGTATTTGGGACTGGTTAAAATACAACATAAGAGCGCACACTATACAGTATTCCAAAAGAAAAGCTCGAGAAAGAAGTGAAAGAGAAAAGGAACTCCAAGAACAACTCGCTAATGCAAAGTGTGCTTTCGAAACAGATCCTAGTATTTTGAATGCAAATCTTCTTAACTGTGCTAAAGATATGCTCGAATTGTTTTATGAAGAAAAGGTTAAAGGAATAATTATTCGAGCGCGAGCCCGCTGGCACGAGCATGGCGAAAAAAGCACCAAATACTTTTTAAACCTAGAAAAAAGAAATCATGTCAAAAAACATATGAGAAAATTAAATATCAACGGCTCGTCTACCACGGATCCGTCAAAGATCTTGTCCGAACAACAACGTTTTTATCAAGAATTGTACTCGAGTAAGAACATGAATAATGAAAATTTGCACGAAATTAAATCCTTTTTAAAAGATTTAAACATTCCTAAACTGTCAGAAGAACAAAAAATGTCTTGTGAAGGTGAAATTACTCCAGAAGAATGCGCACTTATCTTGGATAGTTTCCAAAACAATAAAACTCCAGGGAACGATGGAATTCCCATCGAATTCTATAAAAAATTTTGGCCTTTACTTTGTGAGCCTTTCATTCTCTGTGCTAACGAATGCTTCGAAAAAGGTGAAATGTCGCGCTCTCAAAAGCAAGCAGTAATTACGCTCATCGAAAAGAAAGGAAAAGATCGATCCTTTCTGGAAAACTGGAGGCCGATATCTTTGGTAAATGTGGATGCGAAAATTATGGCTAAAGTTATAGCTGCTAGAATACAAAATGTTCTACCAAGCATCATCCATTACAATCAAACTGGATTTATAAAAGACCGCTATATCGGCGAAACAGTACGATCGATTTTTGACATAATGAACTTCACTGTTGAAGAAAACATTCCTGGTTTGTTGATCTTTATCGATTTTCAGAAGGCTTTCGATAGTTTAGAACGCAGCTTTTTACAAAGTTGTCTAGAATCTTTTAATTTTGGCCAGAGCTTTATTAGATGGGTTGCTTCTTTTTACAAAAATATACAAAGCTGTGTTATCAACAATGGCATAATCTCTGATTACTTTACAGTCGAACGAGGAGTTAGGCAAGGTGATCCTCTTTCTCCTTATCTCTTTGTAGTAGCTGTTGAAACCTTGGCTATCGCAATAAGACAAAATCCAATGATAAAAGGTATTACTATTGACAAGAAGGAAACAAAATTACTTCAATACGCAGATGACACAACTGTGGTTCTGTCAGACATCGACTCAGCCCAAACCCTTTTCAGGTTGTTAGACGATTTTAAGAGGATTTCAGGTTTAGCCGTTAATCCCTCAAAAACTGAAGCAATGTGGATCGGATCATTAAAGGAAAATAAATCAAAACCTTTTGGTATTAAATGGCCAAATGAACCAATTAAAGCTCTCGGAGTCTATTACACCTATGATCAAAAATTACTACACGAGAAAAATTTTATAGAAAGACTAGACAGCGTGAAAAAATTGGTACACATATGGTCTGCGCGAGGTCTTTCCCTTTATGGAAAGGTTACTGTTATCAAATCGTTGATTGTTCCAAAATTTGTTTACGTGGCATCATTATTAACAATTCCAAAGTGGGCGGTTCAAGAATTGAACAGATTGATATTTAAATTCCTATGGAGAGGTGTTGACAAGGTCACACGTTTGTCAACAATAAATGACTACCAAAAAAGTGGCTTGAAAATGATTGACCTAGAAACGATGGTCAAATCTTTAAGACTTGCCTGGCTAAAGAGAATCTTCAGCGAAAACGACAGCACATGGAAGAATTACTTGCGTTATCAACTTAAAAGTTTCGGGGGCCTCTTTCTATTTCATTGTAACTACGATGTAAAAGACGTTCTAATCAAATCACCTTTTTACTCCGAGCTGCTTCAATGGTGGGCTGATTTTCGTGATGACTTTTCTACAGATAAAATGCGGTATAATATTATTTGGAATAATAAAGACATTAGGATAAATAATAAGCCAATTTTTTACAAAACATTTTTCGACAATGGTTTTCTTCTGGTTTCCGATCTTCGATTTGATTTAAGTATTGCAGAGTCACATAATATCATTATAAGAAAGATTGAAAAAACCAATTTCTTAGTATGGGCAGGTCTCAGATATGCTGTACCGTCCCACTTAAAAGCTAATCCTAGAACATCTGATCACACCTTTTTAACAATGCCACCCTCCGTGATAATTAAGAATAACGACTTTGATATTTTAAAGAAGAAATCAAAAGATTATTATTCATTGCTCATAAGTAAAAAGGCACAGCTTTCTAAAAATACCTCAGCTTTAAAACGGGATTTTAATCTGACGGAAGATCAGCTAGAAAAAGCATTTCTTTTACCGCACATCATATGTTCTGAATTCTATGTTAAGGCCTTTCAGTACAAGGTCCTTAACTCCATATTATATACTAACACTAAGTTATATAAAATAGGATATATTACCGATGATAAATGCTCCTTTTGTATGTATAAACCGGAAACCCTTATCCACCTTCTTTTTGACTGTGTATATGCAAAACTTTTCTGGAAGGATTTTGAATTATATTATTACTCGTTGTCAAATGAATTGATCAACCTTAGTCTACAGGATGTGCTATTAGGTATAATAGCCGTACAATGCCCTTTACTGAACTACTTTCTACTAATAGCCAAACTATATATATGGGATTGCAGAAGATCACAAACTCGTCCAATTATTGCAGGGTTTAAGTTAAGGATTAATATTAAATTCGAAACAGAAAAATATATTTGTACCAAAAATAGAACTTTAAGTGACTTTTATAAAAAATGGGCGATATTGTGCACCGCGTAACGCTTTATTATTATTAGTATTATTATTATTACAGTCTAGGCCGTTCAGTTCTCTTTACTTATCCTTCTAAATAAAAAGAAAAACACTTATACTTAATCTATATATAATCCTCTTATACTTTTCTGTTGCCACTGTGTTTATAGTGTTAGTATTGTAAATTATGTTAGTAATCACTTTAGTTTAAGTTATTAGTCGTCAATAATTGTAATTGTAACTTTCTTTTCTTCTTTCTATGTAAAAAAAGTAATGAGTACGGTGTTGTAAGTAGTGTAAGCACTGTAAGTTGTGTTAAGTAACATTTTGTAAGTAGTGCTTGTGTTGTAAATAAATAAAAAAATTATTATAAAAAAAAAAAAAAAAAAAAAAAAAAATCTAATGACCCGTTCCTCAAGGCGTTCCAACAAGGTGGACTTGAGTGACCCTGAATTCTGTCTCATCAAACGTGGTTAAAATAGCTCAGTCTTTTGCATTTGGTATAAAGAGAGCGAATCAGGGCGGCTTACCTGGTCTTACTATCGGCTTTTTCCAGCAAATTCTTGATTCTTGGAGAGCGTTTGTTATTATTATAGCGGAGCTCTCGCGCGCGAAGCGCGCCAGCGGAGCACCATGGGTAAGAAAATTTGGTAAACTATCCATCCGATAAAATTTGGTTATGACGTAGCGTAAACCCGCCCGCCCGCCCGCCCGCCCACCCGTACACACACTTCATGTAAGCCGATGTCAAGTGTCACACTTGTCAGGACCGTGAAATAAATAACAACGGAGACTAATGCCGCTGGAAGAAAAACATGAAAATTATATAGCGGCGGTTATAGCGGCGGTTATAGCAGCGGTTAGAAAAATGCTAGCGGCTACTAATGTGAAAAAGCAGCAGCAGTGAAAAAATAGAATGAACAGGAACACAAACATTTCCTCCATAAAACGCGTAAATAGGAAGCTAAAAGAAGTTTCACGTTAGTCGTGTAAAACAACGGTAAGGAAATGTACAAAAAAAAAACTGCTGCACGTGCAGAGTTGTTTTTTTACTAATTAGAAAAAAAGTGTGCTGCACGTGCAAAGTTGTTTTTTTGCTAATTAGATCTATTGTTGTTGTTTTTAGCGTTTTCGTTGCTTTCAACGTGTCTTTAGTATTCATCGATTTTATATTTTCTTTGAGGAATCCATAAATATTAAAGAGAGCTTCGCTTTTAGCCCTGGCTAAATCTATATATTAATTTTGTGCAGTTCATCTTGAAAACCGTTGCGCCTCACGAGTCTTCTGTCTCCGATTCTTCACGGCGAACTTCAAGAGCGAAGTGATGGATCATCGACGGCTCATAGTTCGAAAATAATTAGTAACAACACCTTGAATGTCCTTTGATGCTGTCGAGAAGTATAATACAAGACTCCTGATCCCCAAAGAAACTGGCATGTTCGCAACCGTTGCAGTACTTTCAAATGGACGCCAAAAGAACGACACCAAAGAGCATGTGCTTAGGGACAGCCCGCTGACCAGTTGTGTATTGTTTCCAAAATATGTTTTCGATTGTTTACATGTCGTGTCATTTTTATCCTGTGGCAGGCGTTCGAAATTTTAAAAACCTTTTACTTATGAATCAGAAAATATATGTACATGATGGCTGGGTCTTTGTTTGCTATCAATACCTAGGGATATTGTACTGTAACGCCCTCCCAGCGTTTAGTTTGCGTGACGCATCATGTAATGTTATCGATATTGAAATCACGTGCAGAACATTCGGGAGCGTGATTGTAGTTTTGTTTCCGATTTGCACCTTCGCTCGAGGCAAAGGTTCGCTCGAAACCATGATTTACCTTACAGTCTCTGACTGTCGTCACGGTTTTAGGTCTACGTTAAAGTTATCTCAGTTCCTTACTCGAATAAACGGACCGTACTTTGGATTGTGTCAGACGTGACTATGGTTACTTCAACCGAACACCGCGGTCGCTCCGAGTAGACCTTGTTGGGGCCAAATCGGAATTTTAATTTGGCTATCGGAAGGGCCAAATTGAGAGATAGTGCCAAAGTAGCTTTTAGTGTAGCCGATTCAGAAATTAGATGGGCCGAATTGGTACCATCTAGAACTGTTTTGACTCTTTCTGTCCAAAACGGCCTAGCACGTTCCAAATCGGCCCTCGAGAAATTGGGGCCGATTTGGCCTTTGGGGTCGATTTGGCTCTTTTCATTTTACAGTGTATAAATGTTTGATCTGCATTATAACTGGCAACTTAGAACTTTACTGACGGTTTTA